AGAGACAGACACGGGACACATGACCCACACATGGAGAGACAGACATGGGACACGTGACCCACATGTGGAGAGACAGACAGGGGACATGCCTCACATGTGAAACACAGGACACGTGACCCACACGTGGAGAGACAGACATGGGACATGTGACCCACATGTGGAGAGACAGACAGGGGACATGCCTCACATGTGAAACACAGGACACATGACCCACACGTGGAGAGACAGACATGGGACACATGACCCACACGTGGAGAGACAGACACAAGACCTGCCTCACACGTCAGACACACAGGACATGTGACCCACACATGGAGAGACAGACACGGGACACACAACCCACACGTGGGGAAACACAGGGACATGCGCCTCAGACACGTCAGGCATAGCTGGGCTGTGCAGAGCTCTGGGTACCCACAGCGGCTGCACCGCAGCCCCACCTCACCTGGTCCTCGTCCCACACGTACAGCTTCCAGTGCAGGACCACACTGGCCCGCTGACGCTTCCAGATCTCCAGGAACACTGTGGCTGTGGCCGGGGAAGGAGGGGCATCGGTGTGTACTCTGGGTGGGCCTTGGATCTGGGATGGCCCTTCCCCTTGCCCCACAGCGGCGTCCTGCGGCAACTCACCCCAGAGAGCCATGAAGATGGCGAACACCACCGTGCCGTCATTGTCAAAGAGGTGGGTGAGCTGGAGGGGATGGGTGGGCCAGAGGGGGGCGGTGAGCCGGGAGAGTGGCCGGTAAGCTAGGGAGAGGCGGGGAGGGTGGGCCGGGAGAGTGGGGCCAGAGCAGGGCCCAGATGAGCTGGGAGCGGGGAAGGTGAGCCATGGGGGGGGGTGAGCCAGGAAGAGGGGTGGGTGGGCGAGGGCTGGGCCTCCCCGTGAGCCCCCTGGGGAAGGTGAGCAGCTCCGCAGGGCTCCAGGCCTTGGCCTCCCCACCTCAGGTGGGTTCACCTGGCCCATCTTCCGCAGGCCCTGGGGTGGACCCAGAGGCGACAAACCTTGGCGAAAGTGCAGGTCTCCGAGAGCCGCTGGTACCTGCGGCTGTGGTCTCCGAGGGGACACATGAGGATGTTGTCGGCTTCACAGATCTCCTTGCTGCAGGGGCATGGCGAGGCTGGGGTGGCTCCTTCTGGCAGCACAGCCCACCCTGGCCCCCCACGCCCAGTCCCCGCCGCACCCCACCTGATCTGGCTGGCCTCGAACAGCGAGAATCCACTCAGGAAAACCACGAGGCCTGTCAGGGCGGCTGGCACCAGCATGTAGGTGTACCAGCCCAGCCAGGCGAAGTACAGGGCCACCTTCTCCCCGAAGTAGTTCCTGCAGGCGGCTGTGGTTGAGGCCCGCTCTGCTGGGGGCGGGGCTGTCGGGGGTGGTGGGGCAAGGACGGGCGTGGGGGAGGCGGGGTTCTGCCTTGGCATCAGTGAGTCTGAATGGGGAGCACATCTGCAGGCGAGGGGGTGTCCATGGCAGTGTGGGGGGCATGGGAGCCTCATGGCCATGTGTGGGCGTCCACAGGCGCGGGGGCATCCGCAGTGGGGTGGTGGCTTCTGGGTGGTGTGTGGGGGCATCTGCAGGAGTGGGGCCCTCTGCGGAGGGTGTGGGGGTGTCCGTGGGGCTCCTGTGGCCGCTGTGGCCACCTTACCTGATCTCATCCACTGGCTGCTTGTGGAACATGCTCCTCCACTGCGCCCAAGTCTTCAGCTTTTTCTCCTCCTGGCTCGAGTGACAGGGAGTGAGAGCTCCCATCCGGGAACCCACCCCAGGGCCCTCTCCCAGCTGGCCCACCCCTCACCTTGTGTAGGGGGAACCTGGCCTCGAAGACCCCGTCCTTCACCAAATTCTCGAATGTCTCTATGGGTCACAGGAGTTCACAAATCGGGGGAGTGGGGTGCTGGGGGAACCCTTCCCTTACCATGCCCGTCTGTGCCCACCCCCACCTTAACCGCCAGCCCCCTCTGTGCCCAGCCCTGCCCTGCTCATAGTGCCCTGTCTGCATCCACCCCTACCCTGCCCACAGCACCCTATGCCCACCCCCACCCTAACCGCCAGCCCCCTGTGCCTACCCCTACCATGTGCCCACCCCTACCCTGCCCTGCCCACAGCACCCTGTCTGTGCCCACCCCCACCCTAACCGCCAGCCCCCTCTGTGCCCACCCCTACCCTGCCCTGCCCGCAGTGCCCTGTCTGTGCCCACCCCCCCCTGCCCCGCACTTACTGCCAGCTGAGGTCTTGTTTTTCTGGACCACGAAGTCCACGATTCGGATTCTAAGACCCAAGAGCCGGGACAGGGTGGTCGCATGTGGCCACAGTGGACCCTGCCTCCAGGTCTCCACCTGCCCTCTGGTCTGGCCAGGCCCAGGCCCCTTCCCGTCCTGGCAGAGCCCCCAGCCTGCCAGCCCTGACCAGACCCCAGAATCCACAACTCACCCGGGAGCCCACGCCCCCACTGAAAGCCCTCCCGGGGTCTGCCCTGCCCCACGGCCTCCAGGATGAGGCTGCTCTGGGGGGCTCCCTCCCCTCCCAGCCCACAGCCCCCATCTCCAACCCTACCCCAACCTGCAGGCCCATGTGTCCAGAGCACACCCCAGCCATTACACACAGACCCTCCTCACACCCCGTGAGCGATTTTGTTCTGCCTGAGCAGAGACTGAGGCTTAGGAAAGGAACGTCCCAAGGCCACACGGCCAGGGAGCAGCACAGCCAGGCCGGCTCCAAGCCGCCCCTCGTGCCGAGAGACATGGCTCCTGGACACCCCAGGGCATGTCTCAGGCCCACGCCCCCCACGGCAGCTCCCCTCAGACCCTCGAGCCGCCTCCCCCCTCTGAGGCCCCTCACTCCTCCCCAGGACCCACAGCTCTCTGCTCACGATGCCCGTCCACTGCCTCGTAGCCAATACCAGGAGTGTCCTTGGCTGGTCCACCAAGCGGGCTGAGCCCGTGGGGCCTGGACGGGGCTGAGCAGCTCGGGGGGCATGGAGGGCCAGGCTTGGAGGCTCCCTCCTAGGCTGGAGAACTGGGGAGAAGCAGGGGCTTGGGGAGCAAGGAGGCTCTCCCTGCTGGGCCTCTGGGAGGCCAGGGACGGTGTCCAGGGAGGGGCATTGGACCTACAGAGGAGGGGCCTCCAGGAGATGCTGGCTTAGTCCGGGAGGGGCCTCTGGGCCTCTGCGAATCCTGCCCACCCCACAAGGCTGGCTTTGACTCTGTCCCAGGAACGCGGGCAGCCACACGGAGCCCTCAGAACGCGCCGAGAGGCGAGAACCCTCACCAGCCTTTATCGGGACGGGAAGCTGAGGCTCACACAGCCGGTGGGTCTCATAGCCGGGGCCCCTGCCCTGAGACCGTGTGGCTGTCCTGCCTTGGCAGCACCCGGAGCCTGGCACTATCTCCTGCTCGGTCTGGACCAAGCACGCAGGCGGCGAGGGGTCCTCCCGGCCATGGCTCTGGGCATAGCCTCTCACCTCGTGGTGACCGGGACAGCCGTGGCCTCAGCATGCTCGGCCTGGCGGGCGGGACCCTCGGGCTCCAGGAGGAGGGTGTGGTACAGGTCGAAGACACTGTTGTCAGCACGGATCCCGAAGAACACCTGTTTCTGGTCCTTTATCATCTGGGGGTGGGGGGCCACATAGGACCTTCTATTCCGCCTCAAAACCGTCCCCTACATCCGAAGCCATGGCTCCTCCCCTGACGGGCCCCACGCCCCTGCCCCTCGCTGGGCACCAGCCCACCTTGGTGTGGAAGCCCTTTCTCCTGAGCTCTTCCAGGAACTGCCACTGCTGCTGCACCTGCCGGGGGTCCGTCTGGGTGCGAAGGTCGGCCACAAGGACGTAATCCCACTGCTCGGACGCCTCGGTCTGCAGGAGGAGGCACAGGGCCAGGTGCAGGCGAAGGGGCGGGGCAGGGCCAGGCGGGGCCCAGGAGGGGCCCACAGACACCCACCTCGCAGGGACTGATCTCCATCAGCGGGAAGCTGTCCCCTTCGGGCTCCACCAGGATCTGGAGGTTGTCTTCGCCCTGGGGGTTCAGGGAAGAGGAAGGGATGCCAGGGTGTGATTGGAGTGAGATGCCCCTTGCTGGCGGGTTCCTGTAGCCACACACCACCCCTCCCCACATCGAAAACAGCAAACAGTCCGAGGAGATGGCTGTGGGCGGTGACAGCCCAGCGGGGCAGGGCCTGCTACAAAGGACCGTGTGGACTCCTGCAAATGCAGCAGGGAAGACGCAGCCCACAGAAGAGGAGCGTGGTGAGCAACCGACGGGGGAAGAGACGAAACGTCAGAACAGCCAGGTAGACGCAGGTCAGCGGACAGGACGACACCCGTGGCTCGGGAGAAGCCCCGGGCGCTCCTGCACGCTCCTGGTGCTGTGCGTATCTGAGCGTGGGTCTGGAAACTTTTTGCAGTGTTTAAAACGGAACAGTCCTAGCGCCTGGTGTGGCCCATCTGCCCCTGGAGGGGCAGACAAGGGCGTTCACAGCAGGTGGATTTCACATCAGGCCCCTGGGGGCTGGGCAGACGCAGGACACCGTGCTGTCCTCACACAGGAAGAGTCCTGCCCGAAGGGTGCTGTGCACGGGGCTCCCGCAGGTGACAGCCTCAGGCATGTCCCAGCAGACACAGGGACACGAGAGCCTTCGGGAAGAGGTGAATTTGCAGGGCCTCAGAGTGTCTCCCTGATACCCGTGAATGACTGAGCAGCCTCCGTGCACCCAGTCCCTGCACCTGCAGCCCTCCCCCGCCCCGCCACATGCTTGCCAAGCTCAGGGCCTGCCTCCTCCAGAAACACTTGACTGGCCCTTGGGGGCTGCCAGGTGAAATAGAGGCCACCTAGTCACTAAGTCACATTTCATTTCCAGATAACAACAGGAGCATAGTATAGTATCAGGATTAGTATTCGTGCAGCATTAGCATAGTGGCAGCACGCTACAGCATTAGTGGAGTATTCACATAGTGTTTATAGCATTACAGCATCTGCAGCACAGCACAGGCAACAAAGCACATGCCAGTGATTGCACGGGCCGTGCCCACACTAAAAGCCTTGCTATCTGACCGTCCGCTTGACTGGGTGTCTTTCTTACTTTGTGTCACTGAGTCTGCTCCCCTGGTCCAAGTCTGCCCTCCAGCGCCCGCCCCGCACACCAGGAGCTGCTGGTTCCAGGACGGGCCTGCCATTCCCAGTCCATCTCAACCACAAGGGCCAGGAAATGCATCCAACCGACCACAGGATGGGAGGCTCTCAGGCAGGGGGTTGGTCCACGGCTGGTACCAGTCCACGGCCAGTTAGGAGCCGGGCCACACAGCAGGAGGTGAGCGGGGGCGGGGTAGGGGGCGTTTCTGCCTGGGCGCCGCCTCCCATCAGATAAGCCGTGGCATCAGAGTCACAGCAGCAAGAGCCCTGCCGTGAACCGCGGGCGAGGGAGCTGGCTGTGTGCCCTGATGACACTGACGCCTGATGATCTGGGTGAAACAGCTTCACCCTGAAAGCACCCCGTACCCACAGCCGTGGAAAAGCTGTCTTCCTCGAAAGCAGTCCCTTGTGCCAGAAAGGTTGGGGACTGATGCTCTAAGGCATAGGGCGCCACGGTCACGGAGGTGGGCCCACGCAGATGCCGCCTCGGTCACGGAGGTGGGCCTGGGTAGACGTCGCCTCGGTCACGGGGAGGTGGGCCCGGGTAGACGCCGCCTCTGTCACGGGGAGGTGGGCCCACGCAGACGCCGCCTCTGTCACGGGGAGGTGGGCCC